ATGTGGCTTGTTCCCTTCCCCCTCCTGACCTTGACTCAAGCATTACATTCTGGCTGAGGATGTCTTGTGATGGTCACTCTGGTGATTTAGCAGCCCTTCCTCCGAGCTTCCTAGCGCTCTCATCTTGCTCATTTATCACTGCCTGATGAACTAAGTAGTTTATTATGTATTGATTATTGTCTGTCCTTATCCACTAGAACAGAAGTCTGCAGACTTTTTCGGTAAAGGGTCAGATAGTAAATATCTTAGGCTTTAAGTAGGCCATACACTCTCTGTCCCAGCTCCTGGATTTGGCTGTAGCAGTGTGGAAGCAGCTATGGACAATATATAACTAAATAGTTGCCCTAGTTTGTGAACTCTGCACTAGAGTCTAATCTCCATGTGGGCAGAGATTTTTGTCTCTTTCGTTGGCATGGCACATGGTGGGTACTTGTGTTAGTTTCCTAGGACTCTTGTAACAAAGTGTCATAAACTGAGTGGCTTAGGACAGTAGAAAGTGTCTCACAGTTCTCTCTGGAGGCTAGAAGTCCAAAATCAAGGTGTGAGAAGGGCCACACTCCCGTTGAGACCAGTAGGGTAAGATCCTTCCCCTCTTCCAGCTTCTGGTAGCCCCAGATGCACCTTGGCTTACGGCAGCATAATTCCAATCTGTGCCCCCAGTGTTTTCCTTGTGTTTCTTCACACTCTCTTCCCTTCTGTGTGTCTGTCTTTGTGTCCAAATTTACCCTTTTACCAGAACACCAGTCATGTTAGGTTAGAGCCCACCCTCATGATCTCCTTTTAACTTGATGACCCCTACACGGACTCTGTATCCAACTAAAGTCACATTCTGAAAACTGCATTGAGGACTTCAACATATATATATATATATTTTTTTTTGCAGGGTGGGGAGCCACCAATTCAGCTCATAACAGTGTCCAGTAAATGTGTTGAATGAATGAATGAATGAATGATTTTAACTAAATCATGTTCCTTTCTTACCAGTATCATGTTTTTCTTCACACTGGTTTTATTAAAATTAACCTTTCCTCTCTAAGTTCTTTTCCTTTAAAAATGAGCCAAACAATTACACCTTAAACATTCTCGCATTCATTCATCCGGCCTCTTGTGCCTGTGTGCTGGGCATGTCCCCCACGGGAGGTGTGGTACTGAGGGAGACCACACCGCGGCTGCCAGCATACCGGATGGAACACGCATCCTCTGTGCTTTGAAAGTTCTTTCTTAGAGACTCAAAGTCACAAAAACGGGAAACTTCATTCCACAAGTCCATTGTGGCGGAATGGCAGAAATTGTCATGTGGGCTTGTTGAGTTTGTCAGAGCTAATTTTTACCCTGGTACCCTGGGTCATACAGCCCAAGGCATACAAGGGCCCAACTGAGGCCAGCTTAGTGAGCTTGGATGTTGCCATGGCAACAGAGAGATGTGTTTGCTCCCCCAGGGGGCTTGACCCTGCATCTTCAGAAGCCTTTCTGCTTATTTGTGCCAGACCAAGTGAGCACGGCCAGGATGTCCTGGCCCTTCCATTTGCCAGACCCAGAGGGAGCCTGTCCTGTCCTTTGACCTCATGAGAAGGGGTTGGGGGCCCATTTTATGAGTGGGAATCAAATCCAGGTTGCCTGATTTCTACCACCGTTGGAGCCCATCTGGTGTTGCTTCCCTCCCCCGACTTTGTAAAGAGTTTTGTTGACGTATAATTCATAACTTGTAGTTCATTCCCTTTAAAGTGATTTTTAGTATGTTCAGAGTTGTGCAGCCATCACCACTATCTAATTCCACATCACCCCAAAAAGAAACCCCTACCCCAGCTCCTGGCAACCACTAATCTTCCTTTTTTTTTCAATGGACTTCCTTATTCTGGGCATTGCGCATTCATAGAATCACAGTATATGTGGCTTTTTGTGGCTGGTCATGTCGATTCTCTAGTGCGTCTTGTCAGTGCTGTTCAGCACATGTCCATTCACCAAACATTTACTAAGAACTGCTGGGCCCTTGGAAACGAAGATGAGGGAGGTTGTCAAGGGGAAGTCAATACTGGGTGGTGGGTATGGGTTAAGAAGTATGCACACGTGGCAGCCCAGAAAGCCCGTGGGGTCCCTGCTCCATGCTGAGTGTCCATATTACCTGAGGGTACATGAATACCTCATGGTCAACTTAGTTTTTGTAATATTTATTTTTGTGAGGGAGACAGAGCACCAGTGGCGGAGGAGCAGAGAGAGAGGGAGACAGAATCCGAAGCAGGCTCCAGGCTCCAAGCTGTCAGCACAGAGCCCGACGTGGGGCTCGAACCCCTGAACCGTGAAATCATGACCTGAGCCGAAGTCGGACGCTTAACCGACTGAGCCACCCAGGCGCCCCTTATTCTTTTTAAGTTTATTTATTTATTTTGAGAGAGCAAGTGTGAGCTGAGAGGGGCAGAGAGAGGGAGAGAGAGAATCCCAAGCAGGCTCCATGCTGTGAGCATGGAGCTGGACACAGGGCTCGAACTCACAAACCATGAGATCATGACCTGAGCCAAGATCAAGAGTCAGTCACTTAACCAACTGAGACACCCCCCAGACACCTTCCTGCCTTTTTTTTTTTTTTTTTGAAGTTGGAATACCTCATGGTCGTATGTCCTGCAGGATTACGAAGACACCGCCAGGTAAAAGATAATCCTTCTCTCAGGCACCCAAATTTGCCAAGCCCCTTCCTTCTTTCCTCTGCCTGGAAGACTGCTGGTGCCTTCCCTGTCTCCACTGCCCACTTCCCCCCGGGTCACGCCTGCTTATCCTGCACGGCCGGCCCGTGGGCCATGTCCTTGGTGAGACTCCCCGGGTCCAGACCAGCCCAGGCTACTCCATTGGGCGATCTCACAGACCCTCACTTCTCCTTCATGTCATATGGCACAGAGGCAGCTCACTGATAAGGCTGTCACTGTTTAGTGTCCATCCGGCCCCTTAGGACTGTGGATGTGTACATTGTATTCAACCTTGTGCCCTGGGACCAGACGTCACGCCTGACCCCTGATACCTGTGCAGCACATACACATGACATTGATGCTGAGTAAAGAGACTCCAGTATTTCGTACTTCAGGGACACGGAGATCCATGTATTCCCCTTTTGAACCCTCTGGTCTCATGCTACCATAGTTAGGGTAAAATCCATCCCAAGTGGTTTTTCCCTTAATAAAGGCCTGTTTGTCCGCTGCCCGCTCTTCTTTCAGCACATGCCCTACAGGACGTGAGTGTTGATTTCATCAAAATACCAATAGCCCATTTGAGGCACTTGATGGCCGTCTCCCTCATAAAGTAAGTCCTTTTTTGGCCCTTGTTCACCACCTTTGTAATAAAGCCCCAGATGGCTTGGCTGAGAAGGCGGCTTGCCTAGACCTTGCGTTGCCCTTATGTTTTCTAATGACTCTGGCGGACCTGTGATACCCCTGTCCGCTCTTTCAACGAAATGGGAAGACAGCATGGCCGGGACTTGCCACTCGCCTTGCCATCAGCCTAGGGAACCCATACTCAGAACGATTCGATGTCCTATGGACAGTGGTTCACCCAGGGGGATGCTAAGCCCCGGAAAATGGAAAGCCAAATGACATTATCTGTGGGTTTTGTTATTTGGTCCGTTCAGTAGTCAGAGGCTCAAATGCAGATGTCCTGGGTCATTTCAGACCCTGATAAAAATAATGCCCCCACGCGGGGCTCTTCCCTGGGGTTAGAGGAAACACAAAACAATAGTGCCAACTCTCCGACCTTGAGCCCTTGAGTCCTGGCACATTTTTAGAGGCTGCCGGTCACAGGCAATGTGAAGAGCTTCTCCTTTTGAGGAACTTGATTTAATTCCGTTAATTATGCCTTGTGACCCCACTCAGGAATTCACGATGCTGTCTGCCTATAGGAGGTGTGTGCAGTCCAACAAGATGGTAAACGTGGAAGTGGAAACCCCCAGGCAGCAGCCTCCCGAAGGGTCTGGGGTCTTTTTGGCAAGAATAATCTATAGACGCAGTTTAAAGTGCCAACGCACATGCATACACACACCAAATGAGGGTTATTGGGGTGGGCTGCATTCATGGGGTCGCTGTGGGGCATCAGCTGAATGCCTTCTTTTTTTTTTTTAATTTTTAAAAAAATTCTAATGTTTATTTTTGAAGGAGAGAGAGAGACAGTGCGAGCAGGGGAGGGGCAGAGAGAGAGGGAGGCACGGAATCCCAAGCAGGCTCCAGGTTCCGAGCTGGTCAGCACAGAGCCCGACGTGGGGCTCGAACTCATGAACCAGGAGATCATGACCTGAGCCGAAGTGGGATGCTTCACTGACTGAGCCACCCAGGCGCCCCCAGCTGAATGCCTTCTTAGCAAGGGGGCTGCCCCCATGGTGTAGGTACCTGTTCTGCCTGTAGATGGTTTTTTTTGTTTTGGTTTTTTTTTTTTTTTTTTGCCTCCTCTGTCCCCTCAGCCCCTCAACTTGACGAGATGTTAGGGGGATTGGGATTCTCACACCAGAGATCTGTTGAGTCGGCGATCCTGGTGTGTCACAAAATGTTTTCTTCACTTTGTGACTCAGAAGGTTCATTTCTTCCCTGGAAAATCACTTACCATGAGGCAGAGACTGCCTGCTCGATGGGTTTCTGTACACGCCAGCGATACTGCAGGTCTCTAGTGGAAACTTGCAGGTCTCTAGATCCTATAGAGGTGGCTGGACTCCTTCCAGAATCTGGAATTGATTTTGAAATTCGAGAATGCAAATCTCAGTTCGTGCGGTGCTCAAACGCCTATTAAAGACATCGGGAGGAATCAAGTGAACATTGTAAAGGGATCTTTAAGTTCTAGACGTGAAAAGATCTGGAGAGGCCACCAAGGTCTGTACCTCTAGCATGATTTCTCTTTCTTGTGGTCTTTCAGGGGGTCCGGCAAGCAAACCAGTCACCGCGGCAGGTGGGAAAAGCACTTTCTGGAAAACGTAACTGGCCACATACGAATGAATCGTAACACGTGTCTCCCGTTTTGCTCTTTCTGCCTAGATTCGTTTGTGGGTGGAGTCATTGGCCTCATTTTTGCGTACATTTGCTACAGACAGCACTACCCCCCTCTGGCCAACACAGCTTGTCACAAACCGTACGTCAGCCTCCGAGTCCCGACGTCGCTGAAGAAGGATGAGCGGCCCACAGGGGACAGCGCGCCCAGCATGCCTCTGGAGGGCATCACCGAAGGCCCCGTATGACTGCGGTCTCGGGAGGATGGACGCTGAGCCCAGGGCACACTCTTCCACCCCGGCATCACAACGCAGTAGGAGAGGTTTTCTGTAGTGTGTTTTTCATCAACTGTTCCTCAAAGTTATCCCTCTGCTTCCATCTGGCCGATGGCATTCCTGCTACTTTCGATGTCTCCTTTCAACTTTCTTGAGTTTGCAAAGGAAGGACACAGGGACAGTCTCTGAGAGACGTGGGGAAGGAGGCTGCCAGGGGAGGGTGGGTGCAACTCGGTCCATTCCTTTGTCCTCAGTGTTTGCTGTAATAGCCACCGCCCTATGTTTTCATGGTCGTGAAACGTAATAAAGCCTCCAAGCTGGAAGACGTGGTGTCAGCTGTCCAGGGCAGCAAAAGTCATTCAAAGACGTGGTGTGTTTCATAACTGAGGCCAGCGTGGGCAGCTGGTCCAAAGCCAGCTCTGGCTGTGGGTCATTCCAGGTGCTGAACTTGGAAACTTTCTGAAAGGTCAGCCTATCATAGCAGACGTCTCTGAAATGGAGCTGAAGCTTAGGGCTCCTGTCTTAGTCTTTCCAGGGTTCTTCTTCTTCTTTTATTTTTTTTTAAGTTTATTTATGTATTTTTGAGAGAGAGAGAGAGAGAGAGAGAGCAAGCAAGCAAGGAGCAGAGAGAGGTCGAGAGAGAGAATCCCAAGCAGGCTCCACGCCCTCAGTGCAGAGCCTGGTGTGGGGCTCGAACTCACGAATCGTGAGATCATGACCTGAGCCGGAGTTGGATGTTTAAAGGACTGAGCCACCCGGGCGCCCTCCAGGGTTCTTAAATCATTGAATTTAGAAGGAAATGAGGTGAACGGCTTCACACAAGTGACTTCACCCCGTACAGTGAAAACAGAGATGCCTGAGCGCCAGTATGGAGAGGGGGTCGCTGCAGTTGTCTGAGGGCTGGCGAGCACCAGATCCTTTCCAGGGGATGGCCGGGTGACCCCTGGCAGTAAGAAGCAGCTTCAGGGTAGGACCTACTCGGTAGGACCCGAGTGTGGCAGGACTCTGCCAGAAGGTCTTCTTTATTTTAAAAAAAAAAATTTTTTTTTCAACATTTATTTATTTTTGGGACAGAGAGAGACAGAGCATGAACGGGCGAGGGGCAGAGAGAGAGGGAGACACAGAATCGGAAACAGGCTCCGGGCTCCGAGCCATCAGCCCAGAGCCTGACGCGGGGCTCAAACTCACGGTCCGCGAGATCGTGACCTGGCTGAAGTCGGACGCCTAACCGACTGCGCCACCCAGGCGCCCCCAGAAGGTCTTCTTTAAACAGCGGCGTGCTCCCCCCTCCTGTCTGGCAGGTGGCATTTCCACATGACAGGGCTCCGGTAGAAAGCACCGGAACAGAGTCAAGAATACCCTGTTTTAGCTCAGCCAGCCGAGGACCTTGGCCATCCGAGGGCAGACCGTGCTGCTCCTTGGCCAGTTTGTTCTTTTCAAAGCAGTGAGCCTTCCCTCCATTCGGTTCTGCTCAGACGCACCCCGCGGTTCTCCCGGTTCCTGGGCCTGCTGTGAAGGGGTGCATCTTTGATGACTAAAGACTGACACTTTGCAGCAGTTGCAGTGACAGACTGCCTCTGCCAAGACTCGAGTGGCTGTACAAATTATCACCCGAGCAGCTCTGGGCTGAGTGTGCCAGTTAGAACCATCAGGATGCTTTCGATTAGCTGTCTATACCGTGAGCTCAGCCCCCGGGTGCACATACCGCCTTGTGAAGACCTTTTACAAATGAGCCCCTGTGCAGCCCTCTCCAGCTGCGGTCCTTCCAAATTGGGGTCAGCACAGAGCCGTGGGGTGACCCTCCCGTCGTGAGGTGGGGTGGGGGGAGGGAAGGCTTGAGTTGCCTTTCATCCACAGCCAGACTCTTGCTTTCTAAAAACCACAGCAGCTACACTCACAAGCAACTCAGAAAACACATGCGATATACTTTAGCAGCTAAACCATAGCAATCTATATGACATGATTTAAAATCCGGGGCTAAAATTCATGTAAAATTAGGAAATCAAATAATCTGATTCAACTAAGTGTTTACAATTTTCAAAAATATAGTCACGAATAACAATGCAAGAGTAGGATCCTTTGATGTTATTAAAAAAAAAAAGTTACGGGGGCACCTGGGTGGCGCAGTCGGTGAAGCGTCCGACTTCAGCCAGGTCACGATCTCGCGGTCCGGGAGTTCGAGCCCCGCATCAGGCTCTG